AAGTATTCTCTTTGCGGTTCGCAAAATAGTTCGATTTTCCGTGTTGGAATCAAGTTAGAATTGGCTCGTAGTGATTTTCCAAAAGTTGATATGGCGATTGCTCTCAATTGAATTTCGACCCATACCCGTACTCCCTCACGGGGATGTGGAAGAAGTATTTTGATAATCCCCGTGGGGGAAAACGGACATGGACCGACAATGACTTTAAAGATTTTTTAAAAAGTTTCGATGAAAATATTAACAATGCATACTGTTCCTATTAAATACAAACTCTCAAAAAAATTTCATTCATTGGCTGAGTCGTGGTAGATGTAGATAAAGAGTTAATTGTTCATTATTTAAATATGAAATAATGTTTTATTTAGATCTAAATCTAATGTCTAATTATCTGAAAAATTAATCAATTTTCTTATTGAAAATATAAAATAGGATTTCAAAATATTTCTGTGAAAACAGAAAAAGAATTAGTAAAGAATTCAATTAAAATCTTGATAAATTAAATTATTCTATTCAAATTTTGAATTTGATCGTAGTTATTAATCAAGATTTGTTTACAAATACGTATGAAACAGTGAAGATCTATAGTTGAAAATATTAACCGCAAAAGTTCGTTATATTATTATTTTTGAATTCATTTAGTAGATTTTTTTTTCTGATTATCTCCAATTTTATTTTGACTCAAATAAACAAGGATAATTATTAATATTAAAAAGTTAAAAGAATTATGAAGATTATTTTCTAATAGTATTTAAACTTTTTAATCATATGACAGAGTACATTTTATTTGTATGTACTAAAATCAATGGATTTGCGATGAAGATTGAATAATTATAAAAAGATTTTTAACTTCTTCCAAATAATAAATTCATTTGATAAAACTTAAAATAAATTTTTTCAATGGAAATAGTTCTCAAAGAAAGAATAAAATTAAAATTGCATATTTATAAGAATTTTCTTTGATAAACAGTTCGAGAAGATTTCATTTCTTTTTTGATCTTTTTCAGTTTTTATCTAAGTTAATATATGGGTGAATTGCGCTCGTATTGTACCGTTGCATTTCCAACACAAAAATGCTTATATCTCAACTTCTACTAAACGGATTTTGATAATTTTTTTTTAAAATACTCTTTGTTATCTGCCCTACTTACCATGAAAATATGAGCTCTGTTCACTGCTTTTAGTGTGGTGTTTTCAAGCAAGAAAGGTTAAAAATAGCACTTTTTTAGCACCATTTACCAAGGAAAATCATTTTTCTCTCTCATAATTTTGATCGGATGCGAACTTTTTGCAACCATTTTGTAGCTAACGCTTTCGTGTTTCTAACTCTATAAATAGATATTTCCTTCAGTTTCGATTTACGGGTCAAATCTTGCAAAAACTATCTAAACATACACTTTGACCATTTTATGTCACGACAGATTATATTTAAGCTACCAGAGTCGATTAAAAAGCAAATTCAAATTTTCTTTTTCTATTTGATAGACAAAAGAACGAGAAATCTTTTAGTAAAAAAAAAATTTCTTAGGACCTTCTGGATCAAATAAAAAATTAAAAATAAGAGAGTAGGGGTAGGTATTTTCTACTAAATGTCACGACAGATTTTTTATTTTGTTTCTTTGATTTCTCGATAACTATAAAAGATAAGTCAACGATTTTTGTACTGTTTTTAGCTGACTTAATGGTAGACCTGTGATAAAAATTTCAGCTCTTAATTAGGTACCGTTCGTGAGAAAACAGTATTTTACTCAAAAAATGTCACGACAGATTTTTTTGTATCAAAATGTCACAACAGACTCAATTTCATCTACTGAAGCTGGTTTGAAAGCAAACGTGAATTTTTTTCTAACGTTTGATAGAGCAAAGAACGAGAAATCTTTTGACAAAAAAAATTTTTCCAAGGGCCCTCTAGATCAAATAAAAAACTAAAAATAAGAGGATAAGCGCGATGATGAGGGTGTCATAAGCACATTCTGGTCCTTAAAGTATGGATATATATGTGCCGATAAAGTTTTGCATATGCTCATTAGATTCCCCTTTTCAAAAGCTTTCGATTGATATATAATAACAATATATAAATTGTTACTTCGCCATTTTATTTTTCTAAATGTTTCTAGAATCACGTGTTTTATTATGCCAAGAAATCTTGAAAACTATGCATTTTTTAATGAAACTCGATTTTTTTCTTAAAATAAAAAACTGACAGTTGGAAAAATATTTGATTTATGCACAACTGATAGAGCTCTATCGAATGTACAATGCAAGTTTGCTTTATATTCACTTTTATTTTTTTCGATTTTTTACGTCAAACGGTACAATACGAGCGCAATTCACCCATATTTATATTGAATAAGAAAAAATAAACTTGAAACACTATTATAATCAATATTTATTCAAATTATATTTTAATTCTTATTTCTATTCTAAACTATTCTTATTATTTATTTCACTTAATATATCACAAAAATTTTAAAAAAATCAAAAAAAAATATTTTATTTTTAATTAATTTTCTTTCTCAATACAAAAATGAATAGTTTTTTTTTACTTCATATAATTAATATAAGTTTTCAAGTTTTCTCTTTCAAATAAATAATCTTTTTTTTATTGATTAGATAGAATATTAAATAAAAATGTCAAAATTTTAAATGAAAAACCAATTTTCTAATTATTTTATTTTTCTATAAAACTTTCTTAGAGAAAATGATTATTCTTTATTGTAAAAGATGTTCATCGGATATTAAATGAATTTGTAACATTATCTCAAATGTGTTTTTAGAGAAAAAAAACATAAGATTTTGATAAATTTTCTTCCCAATTGTACATCTTATCGAACTTTGGTGAGTTTGAAGCGTTTGAATGTGTATTGTTCTTTTTTTTTGTTCGAATATTGTTCCTAAAAAATTTTCCGGTGTTTAACACCTTAGTATATATTTTTTAAAAATGATAATTTTTTGAGAATATCATTACTACTTTACTTATTTTGACTTCTAAGAACAATATTATTCAAAGAAACAAAAAAGAAAGACATACATCTTGATTTAATTCTCATTGTCATTAAAAAAAAAGAAATAGTTTTTGATTTACTGATCAAGATATATTTCTCATCTTGAAACTTTCAAAATTTATTGTCAAATCATTATCGAGAAGTTAAGAAAATAAGAAGAATTATATATATATATAAATCGATCAATTTTTAATATATAATTGAAAATGAATAACATAAATCTAACAGATGAATCGTTTGAAATGTTCTTATCAATATAATATGTTCGATCAAAATTTCTAATAAATGAAAAATTCGTCAAAGAGATTGAAAATATTAGAGAATTTTATATTACTTCTTAAATATTTGCATCATTCATTGTAGAAATAATATTTTTTATCTTTAAGAGATATTCAAAATTAAAATAAATTATCTAGAAATAAAGATTTGAATTTTTCTAAGAAGTTTCAATGATTAAAATTAAATATTTTTATTAATAAAATTAACGGTTCTTCACCTAGAAAATCATTTATATATATATATATACTTTTTTTTCTTCATCTGAAATTATTTTTATTTAATTCATTGATTTTTCCTAAGACTACAAAAGAAAAAAGTAAAATGGAGAATTTTATCGAGTTGTTTGGAAAAGAATTACATAATAACGAATGGAACAGAGAAAATTGACAGTTTTTAATGGGCTATTTTCTTAAGGTAAACTGAATAAGAAAGTTTTGTTCTGATACTAAGAGTTAGTGGACTTTGTATAAATCTTATTGATATGTTCCTTGAAAAATGAAGAGCCGTTATTCTCTTCTACTATTAAAAGTGATGAACACTAGAAAAATATCATTTTTCTTTATTAAATAATTTAAGATATAATATCTAAACGCAGTATTTAAAATAATGTATTTTTAAGAGATAGTACTAACTTTGTCGATAAAAGTTCGTCATTCGAAAAAATCACTTGCAAAAAAATGTCTATATTTTCAATTTGAGGCACCTTTTTGTGTCAAGAAATAGATTTCAACCTCATGAATAAATTAGAAAAGCGGTGTGTGTCTTCTTATTCTCATAATACACACCACACCCACACCCTCAAGATTTCCATTTTAATGTTCTAATAAATCGTCTAAATGTCACAAAATCAGTAGCGTTCAAATGTAAAGAAAGACATATTCATTTTTTTGGTTGAATCGATAGAATCTATGATTCATTTTCGATACTAGTAAAATCATAGCTAAATTTCAAAGAACGAAGTTGCGGTGTGCAACAAAGAATTCCAGAAAGTTCTTGGAATATAAAATAATGATCAATCAGAAGATATTCTAGTGGACTTTATTCATTGGCAGGAGTTGGTCATGCGACAGATAGATTTTTTTTATTGGAAACAGATTAATAATATTTTAAGTTTGAAAGACTAAATAATAATTGATAAATATCGGTTCAAAGAATTGATTCATCAAACATGTCAATAGTTAAGTAATATAGATGAGATAGAAATGATAGTTTCGAAAGAATAAATATGAAGAGATTGTAGTCTATATTCCAAAAATTATGTGATTCGAGATGATGAATTGATTGTAAATGATTAGAAAATCTCATTGGTGTGGGTTTCATATTCCGCAGTCAACCAGACCTACACCGTCACACTGCCTATTATTGACAAGTAAGAGTTCACACATCGCAGTTTCAATTTGTTGACTCTGATTTGTAGCAAATTTTGTGATGTTGAACAACTCTATGAATTTGATCTATTTGATATGAACTGAAGAACCACCAAGTGAAGGAAAGATGCGTATGTCTGCCTAGACAATTCCGCACTAATTTACAATTGCATTGCACAAAACTATTTTAAATAAGTTGAATAGTTTATTCTGATTGTATATCACAAAAGAAATCTACAGAATATATTTTGAGAAATATTGTATGACATAATGAATAAATAAGACATCCGCATTTTTAAGAATGATACGTTGAACTAGGAGTTATAGCATCAAATGACAAAATATCATTTCATCATTCACTACTACCCAATACGTTTGCATTTTTTGGTTTCGACTCAGCATGTTTTAGTTGTTCACTAATCATAGTATCAGTAGTTGTCCAAAAACCTGTTGATGGATCGTATAACTCAGCACTATTTAAAGTAATGGGATCGTTGCTTCCACCAGTAACTAATACTTTTCCATTTGTTAATAAGATTGCTGTGTGATCTCTTCGTCCATGGTTCATACTACTAGTAGTTGTCCAAATGTCACTCGATGGATCATATAACTCAGCACTGCTTTCAGATTTGTGGCTATCAAATATCTGTCCACCAGTAACTAGTACTTTTCCATTTTTTAATAAGGTTGCTGTGTGACTCTTTCGTCGATGATTCATTCTACTAGTGGTTGTCCACATTCCTGTCAATGGATTGTACAACTCAGCACTGTTCAAAATAGTACCGTTGTTCGCTCCACCACTAACTAATACTTTTCCATCTGTTAAAAAGGATGCTATGTGACCTTCTCGGCCCTGGTTCATACTTCTAGCAATGGTCCAAGTTCCCAGTAGTGGATTGTATAACTCAGCACTGTCTAAAGAAGTACGATTGCTCGATCCACCAGCAACTAATACTTCTCCGCTTTTTAATAAGGATGCTGTGTGACCCTTTCGTGCATGGTACATGCTACCAGTAGTGGTCCAAATATCTCTCGATGGATCGTACAATTCAGCAGTGCTTTGACTTTTAACACTAAAAAATTCCCATCCACCAGTAACTAGCACTTGTCCATTTGTTAATAAGCATGCTGTATACAGTTCTACTGGATGAATCATACTACTAGTACTGGTCCAAGCTCCAGTGGATGGATTGTATAACTCACAACTATTTTCAAGAATACCAGGAACCACTCCACCAGTAGCTAACACTTTTCCATTTGTTAATAAGAGTGTTGTGTGCGCCTGTCGACCATATATCATATTACCAATTGGTGTCCAAATTCTTGTCGAGGGATCGTACAACTCGGCACTTTTACGAACGTCAATGTTTTCAAGATTCGATCCGCCAGTAACTAACACTGATCCATTTGCTAATAAGGTTGATGCAAAAAACTCTCGTGATTGGCTCATATTACCAATATCGATCCATTCTAAATGAAAACATTGGGATGTATTCATTCTGTATAGAATATATATTGATGAAATCGACATGATGATCTAATCATGTGCTGAATTGTTTGAAATTTTTGGAACTAAAATCATTTCTTACTAATAGAAAAACAAAGAGCTCTAGGTTCATTCAAAGAAATCTACTCACAATACGATTACACCGTGGATATCCCCGTTGTAATAAAGAATCCTAAGTGTGAGTAACATATATATTAGAATCGTACTTTCTACCTATCGTACATATAATAATCATAGAAATAATGTGTTTACGATCTTGGTATTACAGGAATTTCAACTCAACGAATTTTTCGCACTAACTTATATTTGTATTGAAAAGAGAATAGAATTCGACGTGAGCATAACTTTCGATTGTGTTATCGGACCTGACCCATGCTCTATCGAACTTTTTAGTTCAAGTTTTTTGCATTGATCTCCATACAAAAGTCTGTTTCTGTAAAATACTCGTACCACGGGTAACATTTAGCACAATGAAATGCTGTTGAGAAAAAAAATCTTGGGTATCAAATTTTCAAATTTCAAAAAAATTACTCACACCAATTTTTCTACAACTTAAATTTTCATTTTTATCTTTAAATATGCTGACATTTATAGTTTGTTAAAGATTGAGCTCCATCATTTCAATTAAATGAGCTATCATTTGTAGAATGTACTAAAATATAGCAGAACATTTTAATCTTAATTGATTACAATATACAGAGCTTGTCAGATATAATTGTTACTAAGAATATCATAAATTGCTTCTGATTTTTGACAGATCATATAAGTATGATTGTAAAATGGAATCAAACATTAAATACACATAACCAATTAGGGTGCAAAAGCATTTATACACAAAATCAAAAAATCAAAAAATGATATTCTAAATAGGACGACTTAGAAATACAGATCTCAATGAGCGTCTTCTCTTGACCAATACAGCCCAATCTGGACACACTACATTCGCTACAAATATCAAATTATCACAATAAGTTTTGATACAATCCTCTTAAAAGTTCTCTTTGTTTTAAACTAAAACCGTTCTTAATTCAGTGCAAATCGACGATTTTGACTCGTGCATCATAAGTTTTATATTATTCATTATACAAAAAGAAAAAAAGAATAGCTAATACATTCTATTTTTGATTTCTATCCAAATTCTTTGCAGCTAGGTTCCAATCAAAATTTTGATTTAACCAAAAACTAGCATCTTCTACAAATTACAGCATAGTTAGTCAAACAAGATAAATTTTTATTAAAATCTTTTAAAACAAGTGACTTTCAATATTCGTTCCCAATAATACAACTTTAAAAAGTGAAATATAGATGTTCATCGTTTTACAAAACAAGTTAATAAAATTATCGAACTTAAATCAAGCGAAATTTTAAAAAATTTGATTTATTTCAAATTGATTTTCTTTATGACCGCAAATAAGAGGTAGCCCTGTAATCTATTACGACTACCAAGAATACTTCTCTGAAAAGATTGCTAACGTAATAAAGAGTAATACTTAATAACATACTCCAATATTAGCAATGATAACAATATGAATAATTGCTTTTCCTTGACCACAGTGTCTACAAGTTTTTTTCTACATCTATTTTAAATTCAGAATAATAGACTCATTTAGAATTGAGTACGAAAACTGGCGAACTTTGACGTGCTACTGCTAAGACTACTACTATTGATATTTTCAATGCTCGAGTTCAGATAATATACACACGTGAAAATACCAATTTCGAGTAATCACTTCCTATTGACATTAGGATGAGTCACAGAAAAAAAGAGACTTTTGTCGAGGAAGAAGTTGAACAAAGTCCTCATTTTGTTAGTTTCGAATCAAACGGTTTTTTCAAACTTCGTCTAGCTATTCAACAAGTATTTAATGGTATCAAGAAAAATCTAGGTAAGAGTGATGCAGTTTATCCAAGACCAAATTAACCACCACTAATAGCAACAATAATCAAATAGTGCGACATATTTGATACGACCGTTTGTATTACAATAAACGCATTGAAAGCCTATACATATTTCACACTCTTCAAGAACGTTAAATTCTAATATTTAAATGATCCATGTCTCCTCATCGATTTTGATTCAAGCCACACTCGTAAGATATATGCATAAAGGAAAAGTTATCATTCTTTGTGACGACTAGTTTGGCGCATAAATTGTCATTGAGGAAACTCAATTGCTGAAAATCTGCTGATTTCTCTAAAGACAGTATATAAAACTGTATAATGACTCTATGAAATCTTACCAACTATCATTATAAAAGTATCTTTAGCGTTCGAGAAAATGAGACTATGCTTAATCGTATCATGAAAATTACGCAAGACCTTGTTAGCATAGTTTTATCGTATTAACAAGAAAAGAATTCATTGATAGCTTGTATATAAACTTCTTGGTGGATGTAGAACAAGTAGTTAATGGCAGGAATTAAATCTAAAATGTCGCATGAACAAGTAATTCGTGTGTAGAAGAAACAATTGGTGTCATGAGACGACTGAATGAATCGAACAGAATCACCGTAAGATTATCCATGACTACAAATGGAACTCTCATTGTTATTCTATCTCAAATCCATATGCTTCAAGAGATTTAAATGTTATTTCATCATTACCTTAAATGAAATAGCTCCGTCAGTAATATGTATATGCAAATTTAAAAACAAACAATATCATACTGCTTTCATAGAAAAATTATTGATATAACTATTGATCCTAGTTAATTTTGCAATACATGGTATGCATGTGAGAATATTATCTTTGCCTAAAGTCCATTTTGCACGTCAGTTATCTGATTTCACGAATCTCTAATCAGCAAATCGTACAAAATTATTTTATATGATATCTTCTTGTTATGCATTCTTTCTGTTCTACTAATGCAAGATAAAGTTGTGAAATTTCAATTTAAATAATTTAATGAAGTTTTGGAATCATATAATTGTGATTGATAACGCATTAAATATGACAAAGTATATCAAAATAGTTACTTTTGAACGATCAATTAGATTAACATTATTATGATTAATCGAAGAAACAAAACTGATTTAAATTAAATAGGAAACCATAAAAATTATTTAAATCCTCAAAAACAACTAGAATTCTAAAAAGATAATCATACATTCTATGTGGCTTTCACTAATTTTTTGCACATTCGATGCTTTTGATTGATATATGATAAATTATCAGTTCTAGATGACTTTTCATATAATCGTTAACTAGATTCAGAGAACTGTTAGACGCATAATAACTATATCTTACTTGAGTTTAAAGTAACATTTAGATAGATTAAGCAGCATATGTCTACAGCTTACCTGGCTGCTTGTCTGTAGTTGTAACCGTTGTTAAAGGTGTATTTGTTGTTGATGATGATGATGTTGTTGATGTGATAGGCATATCCTTCTTTGGTGCAAGTATGACAAATTTTAATATCATAGAAAATGTAACTGCTAATATTGTTATCACAATAAATGAGATACAAATAATTTTAAACCAGCGATGACGCCATAATTTGCGAAGTCGATTATTTTCACTGACATGTTCGTTATCCATTATTATTTTTTCTTATTTTATGTTCTGAAAGAAACTTAAACTGATAAAATAATCACCCATTGTTCAACAAGATTTTCTATTTGTTGATCACTCTCATATGAGTAGCAAAAAGAAAACTTTATTTTTAGATATGTGCTAATTTGGATGTTCTGCGGTCGTGAGCTTGGATTTTTCGGTTTGCGATTAGTACTTCCTATTGTATTTGGATAATTTTTAATACCACAAAGTACTCTAATTTGTTCACTAAACTCAATATGACAGATGTCGGGGCCATTAGTGAACATTAGAGGTCGTATATTACTGTTACCCTACAAAAAGTAACTGTAAAGAGGTGTAGCAGAAAGTTTTCGACTTCTTCAATCAAAATTGTATGTCTTGCAAGTAACAGTTTTTTAATAAGTTGGATCAAATGGTATTCGGAGTTAAACATTTCAAGTGTCTAGTATTCCATTTGCCAATGTCAAAAAAGTTCTGTTACCCCGCTACAACTACTTTGTACGGCAATGTTAAGTTACGATCCATAACATTAACTTCGACTCTATACTACTATTATACAGAATTTAATAAACGAATCAGAGTATTTGATGATAATAATGATTACACGAATATAATACGTAGCTCTAATTCTCAATCCAATCCAAGTCCAAAAATCATAAGTAGTAAGTTGATTTTACTATGAGCATATACCTGGTAATACTATATTCAGCACTAAATATATCACTTTATTATTTTCTTTAAAATGCAAGTGAAGATAGTCCGTACATTCATGATTACACGTATAGCTTCACCAATACAGAATAGTTTTTCAAAAGTATTTCATTAGAAAGGTAACAGAAATTAGTTATAATCTTTATGGTTCTGCTAATACTTGGGAAAAGACAACGGAAGAGTTATTTCATTCACACAAAAGTTAACTAATGGTAAAGATATAAATCAATAACAACTAGTTAAAAACTGTAAGATCATTGAGATATTTGGAAGTTCTATAGATAGATAGATTCTTCCTTACAGTAACTGTCGAGCATTATATAGAGAACATTAAAAGTTCATCTACTCAATTCAGACGACTGAACAGAACTAAAATGGCTTCGTCTAACTTTTTGAACCCCTACTTCTTGGTATACTGCTTTTCGTTTTCTCTTTCAATGAATTCTCTCCTCTCATTATTCTATCAGACATCCTTTAGCAAACGCTTTTTAGAGCGTAAGTTAAAGGCGAGTTTCACAATAGTACCTCGATTTTTCACAGTAACAGTATGTGTACAATAGCATATTAAATAAGTGCGCCATTCCGAAGTAGGCGGATCGATATTTTATGACAATTCTTTCTAATTAAATGTCTTTATGAAACAGACAAATAAACAAAATAGACATGCTGGTTAACGCGCATAAAATTGAGGATATTTCTTTAAAATATGCACAGAGTGAAAAAAAATGAGTCATTTGCAACTAGTA